TCAACATCTCAAGCAACCCACACTGTAATTCACAGTGACCTGGGGCTAGCTCCCTCTCTCACCCAGCTTGTAAGCCCCTACTACAAGCACCTCGGTGCAAGGAATACAAGATCGCTCTCTCAGACTGGACGTAGGGCACCTATTGCCTGAACCAGTATAAACCTTGTGCCTCTTTGCATCACCATCCGGGATTAGAGACATGCAGTACACTTTCACTAGTCAGTTGAGGGCCCGCCGGTCCAAAACACCGACACTTTGAATTATTTAACTTCTAAAAAAATAAAAACTGCACCTTTTTGTGGAGGTAGTACTACGGTACTACCCCATGTTTGGTTTGCCATCTGCATCTCTGCCGAACGCGCTTGCTGGCGGTGGCGCCGTAGCCCGTAGCCGTGCCTCTTGCATGTTGCATGCATGCGAGGCTTCGATCCAACAGTCCCAAACGGCCAAACGCACTCCGCAATCCTGGCCTGCGACTGCGACCAAACAGCCTGTTCCTTTCGGTTGGACTGGCTTATAAGCCCATGTTGAAAGTACTGCTAACTGATTTGGTATAGGAGGAAAACACTATTAACTAGCTGATAAGCTAAGCCAGATACAGACAGTTACGTGCTGCCGAACAGAATAGTTCTCTTCACAAAGAAAAGTGGCGCCACCTGCACACCGCGCCGCAGCCCGCAGGCGGCTGCCCGCAACTGACAGCCCTACGGACATTTTCTCCGCTCCACCCTCGTTCCTTTTTCGACTAAGGCCATATTTAGTTCCTCCATTTTCCAGAATTTGGTACTATGCAAAAAAAAGATTCTCCGTCACATCAAACTTGTGGTACATGCATGGAGTACTAAATGTTGACGAAATCAAAAACTAATTGCACAGTTTAGTTGTACTTTGCGAGACGAACGTTTTGAGCCTAATTAGTCAACGATTGGACAATTATTACCAAATACAAACAAAACGCTACAATGCGCTACAGTGTCACTGAATTCAGGGGACGCCAAATCGGTGGCCAACTAAACATGGCCAAAAAAAAAAAACTGAAAACTCTGCTCTTCGCAATAAACAATCTTCGACTCACCTGAAAACGAACTCCCGAGTCCTGATGCTAATTTCTCCATATATAGAGGCCTTGTTTAGATTACCTTCAAATTCCAAGTTTTTTCATTCTCTCTCCATTACATTAATTTTTGGATGCATGTATGGAGTATTAAATATAGGTAAAAAAAATAACTAATTACACAGTTTGGTTGTAAATCACGAGATGGATCTTTTGAGCCTAGTTAGTCCATGATCGAACAAAGTTTATCAAATATAAACAAAACGTGCTACAGTGTCCAAATTATAAAAATTTACAATCTAAACCAGGCCAGAGTACTCCGTGTCTACTAGTACCACGCCAGAGTACTCCGTGTCTACTAGTACCACGCCAGAGTACTCCGTGTCTACTAGTACTAATGGTACATTGACTAGTAATAATGGAGATGGATGCCCGGACTGACGCCGGTTGAGCACTACAGTCTGCACGCATGGAGATGACTGTCAAATCAATGCCGTGCAGGGGACAGGGTTTCTGCACGTCTGAATCGACATGTGCAGCAGCCTGCAGCATCGAACAGACGATCTCGTGGTTGCCGCCGTCATCCTTTCCACCCCGGCCGGTGCAGGCGCGCGGTCAGAGAGACCAGAGCAGATGTCAGCACGCAGCCTCGCCGACGCCGACGACACTCCCACCAGCCATTGCCAATTGCCAAGCCAGCGCCCTGCGTCCCGCGGTGCGGCGAGAATTATTGGGACCTCGCTCGCGTCGGCGCCAACCACGCCGTTAAGGACGCAGGCAGAACCGAAAGGGCAAAGCCGTTGCGCTGTGCCGTACCACCCGGAATTTATTGGGCAGCAGCAGTTGCGAGCGAGAGGGCCTGCCTGACATTTGTACTGCGATTCAAATGGACTCTTGCATGAAAATGAGGCTCAGGGTTTGTCCACTCTAACCAAAGTTCCGGGTGTGCTGCCACTACCATCTATGGATCACAGTACGTGGTAGTATACCCTTGCTACGTTGCTAATCCACACGAGCGAAGCCACGTTGCTGTTCCCTAGTGCATTGCCACATGATATACAAATCTTTTGTTTAAATTGACTTATATTCACTACGAGATGTTCAGTACAACTCAGCTACACTAGTGAAGCAATTTTTTTGGCTTTGGTACTAGTGAAGCAAAAGTTGTTTTTAAAAAATACATGATAAAACATCTTCTCTGGAAAGATAGTAGAGAGAGAGAGAGAGAGAGAGAGAGCTGGGAAACTAGTATTTTCAGTTTCATCCGGCGCCAGTAAGGCAAGCCAAGCTGGCAAGCTTGGCAAAACAAGCAAGCACGCTTGCACGCTATGCATGTATGAGCCTACACTTGACGATCGTAGTTGCCAAGAGATAGATTCATACTATTCATAAAAAACATAAAGATCACATATCTATACACATGTATCATCTTACCTCACGGGGCCCAATCGAGTGATGACAAAGTACATCACGCACGTATGTAATCTTGATATGTAGTTGTCTATGTACAGAGGTCACATGATATTTGGCAAAGCATCCAACGGGCTAAAATATAACTACATCTATATATACTACACCCCATCTAATTGGTCCTGTGCATGATACCAAGACTTGACTTCTTCCACACCATGAGTTCACGTAGAAAATGGAAAGGCTTCCGCCTCTCCATATGTCGTGCGAGCTTGATGGCTATTGAACATGATGCAATGCATCTCATCTTCCTATAGACCCAAACATGCCTATGTGTATCCATTTCATTTATGTTGATAGTGGAAGAAAATCCAATCATGTCTCTGAGCACGCACCTCTTCTTAGTCGAGTGACGACAAAACGAATCAGGCATGTGGTATATCTTGACAGTTGTCGACGCACATATCGTTCACACAATATCTGGCAAAGCATCCAACGAGATAAAATGTAAGCACATCTCTACATGTAGCCCAAGTCACAAACTTGACTCCACCTACTATGCATGTGCAAAACAAAAACATGTAACCACATTTGTGATATATACATAGACTTGACTTCTTCCACACCATGAATTCATGAAGAAAATGGAAAGGCTTCCGCCTCTCCATATGTCGTGCGAACTTGATGGCTATTGAGCATGATGCAATGCATCTCATCTTGCTATAGACCCAAGCATGCCTTTTTGTATCCATTTCATTGATGTTGATAATGGAAGCAAATCCAATCACGTCTCTATGCACAAACCTCTTCTTAGTCGAGTGATGACAAAATGAATCAGGCATGTGGCATATCTCGACAGTTGTCGATGCACGTATAGGTCACACACCATCTGGCGAAGCATCCAACGAGATAAAACGTAAGCACATCTATACGTGCCAGGTGAATCTGACGTCTATTCTGCATGAAACAGTGCATGTCGCACGTACATGTATTACCTGGCAAGGCCAAATCTTACTAGCTGTTTTTTATTGGCGAAGCACTAGCTGTTAACCATTCAGCCATTATTTTTGTATCTAGCTCCACTTGTCCCTTGAGATGGCTAGGAAACTCGAAACAGTACTCGTGACACCACACCACATTACATAGGGCTCGTTTGTTTGCCTGGACTAATCTGGCCGCGCGACGAATGAGTAGAGCCTGGGTATTCCTAGTCAGGCTGGAATGGTGCAACTTCTTTTATTTGGTGGACTTGTATATGTTGGGCCTGGTTTTATAGAGATGTCGTTTGTTTGCCTCGAAATATCGTGTGGCCCACATCTCAGTCTCTCCTACCGGCCACCTGCGCTCGCACTGTAACAGCCTTGGAGACCGAGGCAGCCGTGCCCGCCAGAAAGGACCCTTCCTTTCGTTTCTGCGTGGCCAGGCTCCAAGCCGCTTTAAAGTCCATGCCACGTCTCCAGGCTAACAAACACGTGCAGCTGCAGCATGTAAGCCTGTCCGTGGCTGTCGTCCAAGCAAACAAACACGCCCGTAAATTCTCATATCGTCCATAGGAACCCTAGAAATGCTTAAATGACCTGTAGACATTCACTAATCACTAGGAAGTAGTACTCCGTAGTCCGTAGGAACTAGGAAGTGATCCGGTTCTCGGTGCCTTTTCCGTCCAAAAGGACCATGGTGTTCTTGGATCATTGACCACAGTACGGGCTCACCGACCCGTGAAGTGTGAACCAGTCGACATGGCACGCCACCGTCGGGGTCGGCTCGGCTCGCGCGCACGGAGATTTGCCGGTTGCCGCCTCGATCGGCCGCGAGCGCCGATGGCAGAAAAGGCAAGTGGTAGAAACGCTATCCGTTACGCACGGCACGGCACTCAGCGCCGTACGGCCGCGGCGTCACTCCCCAGTCCGCGGTACAGTACAGTGCGCGAGACCCACCCGACCCGACGCGTTCACGCCTCGGTGACCAGTGCGGGGGCATGGTAGGGCAGGGTAGTGCAGTGCCGCAGACGGCAGATCTGACACCGGGCCGACCCGGCCCCCCTAAAGCCTGCCGCCGCCGCTGTCTCCCGCTACCCTCTGCCTGCCCGCAGCAGCACCAGCAAGCAGCTTCTGCCGCTCCGCAGCGCCCCGCGCGTGAGGAGAGACGGAGGCAGCGAGTGCCCAGTGTGCCACCGCGGGCGGCGGGAGCCGGAGAAAAAACGGACACCGAGCCACCGAGGGGGGGAAAAAAAGGTGGCACTACAGTAGGGCAGCCTAGGGATAAGACCATTCGCAGGGCTCGAGCAGCACAGCAGCCGGGCCGACGGACGGACGCGGCCGGCCACCAGAGGCAGCACGCCGGGGAGCACCTGCCGTTGCCGCTGGCACCGAGCCGAAAACCGCCAGGCGCCAGCCCACGTGCCTGAAGCTCCCAGCTCCCCCCATAAAAGCGCCGCATTCCTCGTCACGGTCACGGCTCTCGTCTCGTCGCGCCAGGCCGCCAGCAGCAGCCAGCGTATGAGCAGCGCCTGCGCTTGCGGCGGCGGTAGCAGGGGATGGAGGCAGCAGCCGTGGGCGACGGAGCAGCAGGCGCGGGCGACGCCGCGGCCAGCGCGCCCGCTGGCCGCTCCCAGCAGGGCGCCAAGCGCGGCCGCGGCGGCGCCGTGAGGGGCAGCGAGGCGGAAGCGGCGACGGCGGCGTGGGGCCAGCCGCCGCCACCGGCGCTGCTCCCGCCGCCGCAGGCGCCGGGGGCGGGGTCCCGGATCTACCGCGTGCGGGCCAGCGGGGGCAAGGACCGGCACAGCAAGGTGTACACGGCCAAGGGCATCCGCGACCGCCGCGTGCGCCTGTCGGTGCCCACCGCCATCCAGTTCTACGACCTGCAGGATCGCCTCGGCTTCGACCAGCCCAGCAAGGCCATCGAATGGCTCATCAACGCCGCCTCCGCCGCCATCGAGAAGCTCCCGGAGCTCGACCCGGTCGCCTTCGCGGCTCTCCCCGCGCCGGGCGACGCGGATGCCGCCGGCAAGGACAAGCAGCAGCAGCAGCAGCAGCAGCAGGGGAGCAAGTCCGCGGGCAGCAGCACGTCGGAGACGAGCAAGGGCTCCGAGCTCTCGGTCTCGCGCTCCGACGGCCGCGGGGGCGCCGCCGCGCGGGACAGGGAGGTCACCGTGGCCAGCACCTCGGCGCAGGCCGCGTCCTTCACCGAGCTGCTCACCGGGGTGGCGTCGGCCGGTTCCATTAGCGCCGCCGAGCACAAGCAGTCCTGGCATCAGCAGCAGCCCAACGTCTCCGCCGCGGCCGCCGACTGCGTCGGCATTGCGCACCACGGGAAAGGTGCGCACGGGCTGTCGACGCACGCCTTTTCTGCCCCGGCCGCCGCCAAGTTTGGCAATGCGCCTCCGTTCGGCCTGGTTCCGGCGCAGCCCTTCAACTTCACCAGTCCCATCGAGATGCCTCACTTCTCGCTCGGTCAGGACACCTTGGCGGCGTCCTCGGCTGCCACCGGGGACTACAGCCTCAATTTTTCCATGTCCTCGGCTTTCTTGGGTGCCAATAGGGGGACCCTTCAGTCCAATTCGCAGTCCAACTTCTCAGGCCATCATCACCAGCAGCTCCAGAGGCTGGATGGCCCGATCTTGTTTGGTCACGCTCACGCTGCGGCGGCGGCGCATCCCGCATCCGAGAACCAGCTGACGGCGTCCGCGGCGTTACAGCTGTGGGACGGGCTCCGGCACTCCGGCATGAAGGAGAAGAGCAAGAACTGATTGCACATTCTTCAACGGTAAGATGATACCGACCTCTTAGAATCTGGAAACTTTTTATCTGGAAACTTTTTATCTTTGTCGCCCGTAATGTGCTCAGATTGTCATTTCCGCATGATTACCTTACCTTCTTCGTGGCGCTCGAGGTAGCCTCGTGCCCATAACGTCCAAAAGCCTTGTTCTGTTCCAGTTGACTTGACGGGTGTCAGAACTTCAGGGTCTCATTTAACAGGTGTCATTTGCTCCTCATTGGAGGATTTTGCATGATCACATGGCTTCTGATTGGCATGCATTGCATTTTATTATTGTATTAAATTGCTTTGCTGTGTGCTGTAGCTACGTAGCATTGCTGAAAAGGGATCGAACACTACCTTTGCATTCATAAAAGGCTTAATACGCAACAGATCTTAACTGAAGCGAGCTTCTGTTCATATCACAGTATTTTTTTTACCTGGCTAAATGAATTCTTGGGACGCAATCTAGCAATGCAGTAATCTGATTTGTACCATAGCAGTTCATTGTAACAAGGAATATTGATGTAGGTGATCTGAAATCTTAGGTTTGTGATAGAACATGCGCTGTTAGCTAATCTACTGCCATCTTGTGTGAACACAGCAGAGGAAGGCGCGCCGACTTAGCCGCTTGCTGTGTGTGATCACAGCAAGGGAAGGCGGCGTCGACTTTGCCCCTCTTTGTCAGGATAAAGAAAGCGCCAGATGCATGTAGGCGCCAGACGGCTCACCCTGACAAAGATCAGAGAACAGCAAGTGGGGCAGCAGAGTCGTCCATGTCAAAGTTATCTAGTTCTTGTGCGGCATGGTAACCGCACATGGACTAGATAGTTAGAGTTGTATAAATAGACATGTATGGCAACTCAATAAAGAGAGCTCAGATTTGCCATCACACAGACAGGACCTCGGCCAACGCTGTTGTCTTGTATTGTGCGTGCTTGCTCTGTTCTCCCTTCTTCTAAGCACGTCCGTAGTGTGTGTGGGTACGGACAACGCCGGTACGTGGTCTACACGGCTAGTGGGTGCTCGGCAACACTAGCGCGTGCTCGGCAAGATCGGCTGGAGTGGTTCACTGTCGTGAGCCGGTGATCCTGTGAGACCAATGGAGTGGTCTGGAGGCCATCTCGGTGGTCGGGAGGCTAACTGTGGGCCAACAAGTGGTATCAGAGTCAGATAAGCGCCGCCGTCATTCTAACCGGATGGCGGCGATGACGGTTCGAGTTGAGTTGGCGCGTAAGCATATAATTGTCGTGGCTATCCCAACCACTACCGAGATGTAGTTGTTCAGACGGTCACGGGAGGTCACGGCACCACTTGGCCGGGACGCCGACTTCACACTAACTATGGAGAGTGGTCGGTGACCATGAAGGTCAAGCTCAGAGTCCAACGACTACGGAATGTTGTTGACAAGGGCACCGAGCGTGGAAGAAGACGACATGTCGGCGTTGGAGGCTATCCTCATCTGATCAGATGATCGGAGTCTGAGGGAATCATTGGGGACGAAAGGCTCAGCTAAGGAGGCGTGGGAGGCCATTGCGGCGATGCGCGTCGGTTCCGACCGCACAAAGAAGGCGACGGTCCAGCTTCTGAAGCAGGAGTACGCAAACCTCAAGTTCAAGGATGATAAAACAGTGGAGGATTTTTCCCTCCGCCTACAGACGCTCATCAGTAAGCTGAAGAGCCACGGCATCCCCATCGACGAAGAGGAGGCGGTCTCCAAGTTCCTCCACTCGCGTTTAAGCAAAGTACATCCAGATCGCTCTCTCCATAGAGACGATCTTTGGACTTGTCCACCCTCACCATTGAGGATGTGGGCAGCCGTCTGCAGGCGGTGGGGTGGCGCGCGCGCTAGGGCAAAGCGACAAAGAACGGCGACGCTGGAAACTCCTGGCCGACGGAAGAGGAGTGGGTCGCTCGGGCGAAACTCCGGAAGGCAGCCTCCTCCAACAAGCGGTGGCAAGGGCAAGCACCGAGATGGGGCTTCTTCGGAGAAGAAGCACATCGACTCCAACGCCTGTCGGTGTTGCGGGAAGATGGGCCATTGGGCACGAGAGTGCCCAAATCGCAAGAAGAAAAAGAAGGCTCAGGCTCACCTGGCGAAAGCCGATGATGAGGATGAGGCCACTATCCTTATGGCGACGTTCTGTGCACTGCATGACGTCGAGGCCATGGAGAGGGAAGAGGCGACGACGGTGGAAGGTCCTGGGAAGGCCCTGAAGATCGTCAACCTCGACGAACCACGCGCCCAAGTTCACCTCGGGTGTGTGGGCATCGACCAAGAGCAGCCGTGGTATCTGGACTCTGGTGCCAGTAACCACATGACGAGCTCCAAGGACTCCTCCGAGTTCGACGGCGATGTTACCGGTACGGTGAAGTTTGGTGACGGCTCAAGGGTGGCTATCTAAGGGCGCGGCACCATCATCTTCAGATGCCAGAACGGGGAGCACCGCGCGCTAACGGATGTATACTACATCCCGCAGTTGCGTTCCAGCATCATCAAGATTGGCCGGTGGATGAGCCTTGCAGTAGCGAGGTTCGATCAAGGACGGCGCTCGAGGATCGAGACGGGAGCGGCGACTTTCGCCAAGGTGAAGAGGTCCTCGAATCGGTTGTACCGCCGACCAAGGTAAAGCGGCCCGGTTTTCTGGCGGCAAGGCACTCCGAGGAACCATGGATGTGGCATGCCCGTTTCGGACATCTCAGCTTTGACGCGCTTGGTCGGCTTGGGAAGATGGTCCGAGGGCTACCCCACATCAAACACGGAGGCGAGCTGTGTGACAGCTGCCTGGCAGGGAAGCAGAGGAGGCTACCTTTCCCAAAGGCGGCCAAGTATCGCGCGAAGAAATCTCTCGAGCTAGTTCACGGCGACCTCTGCAGGCCGATCACGCCTGCTACATGCGGTGGTCGGCGATACTTCCTCCTACTCGTGGATGATTGCAGTCACTACATGTGGCTGCAACTCCTGATGAGCAAGGACGAAGCGGAGGTGGCGATCAAGAAGTTCAAGACGCGCGCGGAGGCCGAGAGCGGCAAGAAGCTCCGCGTATTGAGGACTGATCGGGTGGTGAATTCACTTCGGTGGAGTTTGCTACGTACTGCGCGGATCAGGGTGTGGGACAACATCACACCGCGCCGTACTCACCACAACAGAATGGCATGGTGGAGCGACGGAACCAGACAGTGTTCGGCATGGCCCGATCCATGATGAAGGCCAAAGGGATGTCGACAAAATTCTAGGGAGAGGCGGTGACCACGGCGGTGTTCATCCTCAACCGTGGTCCAACCAAAGGCCCTAACGGGCAAGACGCCGTTCAAGCTTGGTACGGAGCAAACCGAACGTGTCATTCCTCCGGACATTCGGTTGCATCGCCACGCCTGGGAAGACAAAGCCGAACCTCACCAAGTTGGAGGATGTGAGCACACCCATGGTTTTCCTGGCTACGCGGAGGGTACCAAGGCGTCTCGGCTCTATGACCCACCACGGAGACAAGGTGATTGTCTCATGACGTTGTGTTCAACGAGGAGGCGGCTTGGGATCGAACAGTCCGAGCACTGGGAAGCAGGAGGCTTCCCCAACATCTTTGTCGTCGAGCACTTGGTCATCCACGGCGGTGGAGATCTTGCATGAACAAGTGCCACACGACTCGGGAGGAGCGCCGAGCACTCCGGCGGTAGAGTCGAGCACTGGGCAAAGGTCGAGCACTTGGGAGGGATGCCGAGCACTACGGGAGGAGTGTCGAGCACTTTTGGAGGGATGCCGAGCACGCCAGAGTGGAGCAGGGGAGGTTCTGCGCAGTGGTGGCGACCACTTGAGACGGTGTCCGAGCAGCACTCCCATGGCAGAGCCAAGACGTCTTATTGTGGTCCCAACCACTCCAAGATCGAGGCTAGGCACACCTGCTGGTGTGGCCGAACACCGCAGGAGTTATGACGAAAGCGATCTAGAAAGCGATGCCGAGCACGCCGGGTGCTATATGCAGGCACCCCGGCGGAAGAAGGAACTCCATCACTCCCGATCGAGTTCACCTCACCTCCAAGTGACATCATTGAGTTTGTGGACGCCTACCACGAAGGTGAGGAGTTGAGGTTCCGCAGTTGGACGACATCGTCGCGTGCGCAGACAGTCCCTCAGTGTCCGGTGGGTAGGTCGCTCAACGACGCAGAGCCGCTACTCGTCGCCGCAGAAGAACCATTCCACGTTCGCGCTTAGCCGAAGCGCGATGGAAAGCTGGCGACGGTGATGATCTTTGGAGGAGATGAAGGCGATCGAGGAAAACGAGACTTGGCGGCTCGTCGATCCACCTCCGGGATGCCGTCCGATCACTGAAGTGGGTGTACAAAGTCAAAGGGGACGAGGTCGGCGCCATTGTCAAGCACAAAGGCGCCTCGTCGCCGAGGCTTTTGTCCAGCGCGAGGGCATCGACTTCGAGGAGGTCTTTTGCGCCAAGAGCGCGCGATGGAGTCGGTCCGTTTGCTACTTGCTTTGGCGGCAAAGAAAGGACCGGGCGCGTCCATCACTTGGACGTTAAATCGGCCTTCCTCAACGGGCGAAGTTGGCGGAAACGGTCTTCGTCGGGCAACCTCCGTGGTTCATTTGTCAAGGGAGAGAGCACAAGGTGCTCCGATGCACAGAAAGCGCTACACGGCCGTGGCAAGCCCCTCGAGCATGGAACGCGCCAAGCTTGACGCCACACCGGGCGAACTTGGGTTTCAAAGGTGCGCTTGTGACCGAGCACGCGCTCTACACGACGACGACGGGGAAGGAAGAGCTCGTGGTCGGCGCGGTATGTGGATGACTTAATCGTCACCGTGGCGCAGACGGAGGATATCAACGACTTTCAAGCGAGAGATGGCAGCTCGTTTCGAATGAATGAGCGATCTCGGCGCTCTCTCTCCTACTACCTCGGCATCGAGGTGAGGCAGAGGAAGGAGGAACTCACGCCGGGCAAAGCGCGATGCCTCCAAGTCGTTGGATAGGAGCGGCATGGTGGAGTGCAAGCCATGCGTGACTGATGGAGGAGCGGTGAAGTCGACGAAGGCCGAAGATCTGCGGCGAAGGTGGATGCAACACTCTACCGGAGCATCGCTTTACGGTCTGCGCTACCTAGTCCACACGAGGTCGGACATTGCGTTCGGGTGGGCTACGTCGATCGCTTCATGGAGGATCCCGAGAGGATCATCGGGCTGCGGTGAAGCGGCTATTACGCTACGTCAAGGGGACGGTGAATCATGGAATGATCTTCCCAAAGACCGGCGGGAGTAGGTCTGCTTACTCACGGTATTCGGGCCGATGCGAACATGGTGGGGACATTGACGGACGACGGAGCACCTCTGGCGTGTTTCGTCTTCCTCGGGTCACCCCAATTTCATGGTCATCCATCGAAAGCGAAGATGGTGGCGCTATCTACGTGCGAGGCGTAGTACGAAGCGGCGGCCACAATGGCGTGCAAGTTGTTGTGTGGCTACGCCGCGCCGGGCGAAGCTGACCGGCCGCGGAAGCTCACCCACCGGGCGATGGTGGACAACCAGCCCACCATCGCCTCGAGAAGAATCCGGTTCAAGACGACCGAGTAAACACATCGACGTAAAGTTCCACTTCCTCGTGGATCTGTGTTGATGGAGGGAAAATCGTCATCGAAGTTCGTTCGGCGCTTTCGGCGGCTCGCAGAGCGTCCTCACCAAGCCGCTCGGACGACTTCAACTCACGGAGCTGAAGGAGATGATCGGCATGGAGGGGGTACAAGGGTTAGCAGTAGGATTATGGAAAGATTGTTAGCTAATCTACTACCACCTTGTGTGAACACAACAGAGGAAGGCGGCGCCGACTTAGCCGCCTGCTGTGTGTGAACACAGCAAGGGAAGGCGGCGCTGACTTTGCCCCCTGCTGTGATACAGTAGGCGCTGCAGGTGCAGGCGCCGCACGGCTCACCTGCAGCACTGTAGGAACAGGCAGTGGCCGGCGCAGAGTCAGCTCTGTCAGGTTATCTAGTTACTGTGCCAGCATGGGCGTTGCACATAGACTAGATAGTTAGAGTTGTATAAATAGACATGTATGGCAACTCAGTAAAGAGAGCTCAGATTTGCCATCACATAGACAGGACCTCGGCCAACGCTGTTGTCTTGTATTGTGCGTGCTTGCTCTGTTCTCCCTTCTTCTAAGTTCATCCGTAGTGTGTGGGTACGAACAACGCCGGTACGTGGTCTGCACGGCTAGTGGGTGCTCGGCAACACTAGCGCGTGCTCGGCGAGACCGTCAAGTGCTCCACTCGCCTGAGCCGGTGCTCGGCAAGATCGGCTGGAGTGGTTCACTGTCATGAGCCGGTGATCCTGTGAGACCAACGGAGTGGTCTGGAGGCCATCTCGGTGGTCGGGAGGCTAACTGTGGGCCAACATGCGCTTCTACTTGCTTTGGTTTGATAATATGGACCCTCAGTTAAAGCTCGCTGAAATGTGATATAAAATTTTTGAGTGCTCGTACAAGCTTTAGCTTAGATGCCAAGGAATTTGAGAACAAATGCAATCGGCTAAAACCCTAATTATAGAGTTACAGACCATAAGTTGTTCTACTGAACTTATTACTTCCCATGTCCCATGAATCTACTTGGTGATCTGTTCATGCAAGCCATGCTTGGCAGCCTACTGCGCCAAGTGCATAGTAGGGCTTTGATTGGGTGTTGTCTCCAGATTAGAGCTGCTGTAAGCGGAAGCTCCGCCATACTCGATTCAGCTTGCTCTATGGTCTTAAACATGACTGGGTCAGTAGGATTTTGCTTGGTGGTAATACATGACTATGGCAGTAGGACCCTCGTATGGTATGCACTGAACTGTACTTCTGTATGATCTTTGATCAGTTTGTAGTATGTGTCCCATCACAAGGAAAAAATGTACTTAGTGCAGTGTTGCTAGCAAAACATGACTAAGAGTCTTGGCATCAACAAAATGCTTGTGTACTCAATTGAGAGAGAAGTCTTTGAATATTATTGTAGATTGGTGACCTTGGTGATATCAGTTCATTAGTACCCTTTTCCCCCTATAGACCACACTCAGCATGTATAAAGAATCAACTTTGTTTTTTCATTATCCATGCAAACCATTGTTCATCTCTATATATTCTGTGGTGTCGGAATCTGTCAATTTTTTGTATCATTAGGTAGTGGTCGTCAAGATTCAGTCTTTATTTCTTGAGATTGGACATGCCACCATTTCTGGTGCTTTGCTTGCACTGAGCTATCCAGAGTTCCAAACCTGTAAGCTAGACACTTCCAGTCTTATTTATTGAACGTAGCTTTCCAGCAGATGCTGTAACATTACTTCCTGGTTGGAGACCTAGACCCCATAGCACAATCTGGAGGGTTTGTTGTTGTTTGTTATACACTTATACTTCCTAACTACCAGAAGTTACTATTTTGTTTGTTGTCTAGTTTCCCCATCTGAGACCATAGCTTTCTAGTCTGTTAGGACTGTATGTAATTATGTATGCTGGAATCACATAGCATTATTACATTTTTCTGGAATTAAATAGGTAGAAGATTAATCTAAACTAGCATGATCGGAGTGCTATAATATTATTTTAGTTAATGATATTTCACTGATAAATTCTACTCTTGAATCCTGAGCAGTACCTTAAAAGTTATTGGGTATGCAAAGCAACAGGCACAATTCCTACATCAACAAACTTCTGTCGTCTTCTTTTTCTCATAAGGATGATTCGAACTATCTGAAGTGCATGTATGCCTCCACATAGATGAGTCCTCCATCCCTAAAGGGATGCAACTCTAGCACAGTACTAAACCATACTATCTCATGTTTGACCAAATTTAATACAAACAATTATACATGTTTGTGATATCCAATAAATATCATTAGATCCATGGTTGAACACATTTTTATAACGTCATTTTTTTTTTAGAAAATGGAAGAGAACTTTCACCCTCTGCGTGTCCACACACAGCATTATAATGTAATTATTTAGAGTCATAAATGTTGATAGCCATAGTTTGACTAAGAAAACATATAGAGCTGCATAACTTTGTGAGGGAGGTAGTAGCTATTAGCCTATTATTGTTGTTCTGCGTTACAAAGGCATGATTTAGTACTGCATAAACAAGTACGGACTGTGTTAGATATCAGTATCCATCATGTTGTTAGTACGCGAGACACTCGTTTCTCAGTGGTTGCAGTACAGACTGGGCATTAACATATATGTCAGACAGTACACATTGGTCATTAACATCTATGCCGGATTCTTAATCTTCTTTGTTTGTCTACCTGCAGAAAACTGAAGACATCCAATTGCTGGGACCCGTTCCGGCAAGAATTCTCTTTTGAGCTGCTACCGTTTGTTGCGGTGATAGACTGTCAGATCATCATCAAACAATCCTATGCTTTTTTTTTTCTTTCATTTCCTTCCTAGATGCTGTTGTACAATTTTTGTGGGAGATGAGAGTTTAAACAAGTCGTTGTAAGAGTGCTCGGTAATCGCGGTTCTAGTGCTCCCCGCGTCTAACTGCTGGTCGAGACTATTCTGAAGTTTGGATGAACAGGTCCACTGGACTTGGACAAACATTGTGGTCATAGGATGTGTTTGGTGGGTGGTTAACTCCTAGCCTGTGAGCTAATTTTGACATCTTTAGTTGTCTGGAAGTGAGCTGGGGCCAGGCTAGGTCTGGCCATCTGTACCCCTTTAGCCTGGCCAGAGTATACGACCGATTTCGTTCACTCCTGGCCAGGCTCCTGTGGGCGTTGCGGTCACCTCCTGTGACCGGCGAGTGATGGCGAGGAGTTCAAGTCGACGGCGCCACCACTCCACCGGAGCTCCCGCCGGTCACCACTCCACCGGATCTGCAACGAGCCACTCCGCCGGAGCCCTCGCCTGCCAGCACGCGACCACCGAGGGCGTCGAGGTGGGCTGGGAGGAGGATGTCCGGCGCCGGCACCGGAAGCGCGCCGTGGATGAGAGGTTGGCGGCGTGGTGGGTCCCCGGCAAGGCGGCGAGGAGGAGGAGCAAGGTGGCCACGCCGTTCAAGGTGCTCAACACCGCCGTCGCCGTGTTCCTACGACCAGGCCGCCTTCTCCGTGCGCGGCGCCGCTCCTCCAGTGGACCTCGTGCTCGCGTCCGCTCCCTCATGGCGTCGCCTCCACCTCATGGCGTCCAGCTCCGTGCCAGGCCGCCTCCATGGCGTCGCTACTCATCGCCGCGGGGGCGAGCTGGGTCTGGGCGCCACCCGTTGAATGGCTGAGCTGCCGACGACGTCGAGCACCCACCGGCGATTCCACCTCTCTCGCCACCTCCTCCCATCGCGCGCGCGAGGGGCAGCCCGGCGCTCGTTCCCCGCCAGCGCCAGATCAGCTCCTCCGCGCCGCCCTCCCCTTCTAGATCCTTCTAGGCCTCTCCAGATCCTTGGAGCGCGGGCGCGTAGGGCAGAGATCTCGTCGGAGAAATGGATAAGTCCAGGGCGGCGGCGGCATGGAGCTGATCTGGCGGCGGTGGAGCTTGGGTGTTCGCCAGGTGCCTGAAAGGTGGTAAACTTACGTGCATAAAGAATGACTCTACCCAAGCTAAATCAGCCGATCAAACACACTAGTTATCAGGCTTATCAAAGTCCATCTTAATTTCACACTACTAGTTATTTTCAGCCAGACTTATCAAAGAAACCAACACAGCCGTAGTATCCCTGATTCAGAGGTGCTGCCATGGCTCTTTCTGGGTGTGATGAAGCCTTTGTCCTGACGGTTGAGTATTTCGATATGAAAAGCTGGTACAATTGGTGCATCTGCATAGCGTCTTCCTGCAGATGAATGAAATTCAGACTGTTCGCCACTTTATTCAGGTAGTTGATGTGCACCGGCATACACAATCGTGTCAATAAATAAAAAGAAGAAAAAGGAAAAGACGCGAATCGTCAGATGGCCCATGCAAGCAGACGACGGTGATCTCATTTTGGGCCGAGCACCCACTGCCTGTACTCCAGGACGAGCTGGTACACCTTCTCGGGCGGGTACACGTTGGTCGCCACGCTGTCCCGGCGCGCGCACCGCGCCGCCCACGCCGCGAGCCCCGGGCACTCCTCCGCCACGGCGAACCGGCCGTGGCGCTCGTACGTGAGGAACCACGCGGCGAACGGCGCGGCCGCGACGTCGACGAACCCGAACGCCTCCCCGCCAAAGAACTCCCGGCCACCGAGCTCGGCGTCCAGCGCCCGGAGCACGGCCAGCAGCTCCGCCCGCGCCTCCGGCTCCGGCTCCGCCTCCTCCTTGCCGTCGTCGCGCCTCAGCCACAGCCGCTTCCCGCAGTGGTGCGCCCGGCCCGCGTACTCCGCCCAGAACCGCGCCCCCCGCGCGCGCGTAGGGGTCGGCTGGCAGGAGCGGCGGCGTCGCCGGGAAGGCCTCGTCGATGTACTCGAGGATGACGAGGGACTCGCAGACGGGGCGACCCGCGTGGAGGAGCACCGGCACCTTGCCGCTGTGCGCCGGGTTGGAGCGCCGCAGGAGGTCGCTCTTGGCCGCGAGGTCCTCCTCCGCGCGCTCGTACGCCAGGCCCTTCTCGGCCAGCGCGATGCGCACGCGCTGCGCGTACGGGCTGCCGAACACGTCCAGCAGCACCAGGTCGCTGCCGCCGCTCTCGGCGCCGGCCATGTGTGTGTTTGTGTACGAGCGGCGCTGGTTCGCGGTGGTGCGTCGGCGTGAGCGGGAATCGAGGCCGGGCGTGAGCGTGAGCGGGAATTGGAGAGGAGAGCCGAGACGGAGAGCCCGAGGGAGCTCTTCTGGTGGCGTCCGTGACGTCGTACGTGCTGGACGACAGTGGGAGTACGAGCTTCCACGAAACTGTCTTTACGCTTTGACTTTGAGGCTGCCACTCTAAGCTTCCGTTTCTTTGCAAGTTCGTGAACAAGTACGATTGACTAATTTATGTGAGAGAAAAATACTATTCCGACTAGAAATTTTCGATCGAACCTCAGCCAAACGAATAGGCTGTGGGTCGTCAGCGCTGGCGTGTCCATGTTGTCTGGAGTCTGGTTATCTGCTCCCAGTGACCCAGTCCCAGTCCCATGTCGTCAGACGTCATCGCTGAGGAGAGGAGGATCTCGTAGCTCCCTCTGTCCAATCTTTGATACTCCCTCGTCCACGAAAACATGTAACTTGCGTGCCGACAAAAGTAGTTTATGTTTAACTAAATTCTAATGAATACTGTTCATATGTATGACTCTAAATTAATTTATTAAAAGGTATATTTCGTAATTAATCTAATAATATTTATTTGATATTATAAATATTGATATTTTTATCTATAATTAATTAAATTTGAGGTACTAAACCATAGCACTGGGCTAGAATTGCATGTTTTTCTAGACGGAGGGAGTACTAGTGAATTTATTTTGAACATACAAATGTTAAAATGTTTTTTCTACCAACTAATTTTTCAACGTTAAAACTTAAAAACTTAGAAAAAAAAATAAAGTTAAGGAGTACTAGTAGCTAAGCCGAGAGGCTAATGATGGTGGACCATCCGATCGCTGGTTTTATTTCCTAACCACGTGCCTCGGAAACCAGTGGATTTATCATAGACGGATAGACCTGTCCATGACTAGTGATGCTGCTACCCTGCTACTTTGACCAAGCCGGAGAGGAGGTAGATAAAAGATGCATCATGCATGGTGGTGCAAGCTGCACCATCTGTCCAACACTCCAACTGAATGCGGCGGCGACTGAAGAGAAGGGAGCGGGAAGCGGGAAAGATGAGGAGGAAGCATGGGCTGGTCCAACCCGGAAATTAAAAATACGGCCCAATGTAAAGTACACAGGCCCCAACCGGACCACATGAAGTCCAACACACAGCCCATGTTCGCACGGTGTCGTGGAGATCTCGTACACCCGATGTTCCTACTCCCCTCCATGTCAACAAGAATACTATTCTTTTTTTTTCCTCGATCATGCAAAAGGTTTATAAGTCTTTTATTAAGGTAGAATTTTTTTAATATAACACGTCTTAACGGCGCCCTAGGTGGTCAGAAGAGATTTACATGGACACTCGGACTCGTACCATCCCTAGCGTACTGAAAGCTATGCTGTTACATTGGACACCGATCAACCCGAATTACTTCGTCGGCTAGGAGCTATGCCCGGGCTGTCAAGCGGTGGCGGCGCTGCTGCGCAGACCCACGTCGTCGTCCGGTGGGATCAACTCGCGTAGCGCCTGCATATTACTCGGAGTCCCTGCTGTAGATTTCATCGTACGCCTTCAGAGCCGACGTCAAAGGAGACGACATCCGGCTAGTTAGTCCCAGGCGCTTCAAGACAAGATGTTCAACTCGTTAGGACGCCGGGACATGTGATATGCCCTGTGCCGCTATTCGCCTGCTCCTCTTGGGGAGCGCATGTGGCGTACGTCCGCCGCGGGCCGTGACGACGACGGGCAGCTCCATGAGTGGTGGCTGCCTCGGCTTTGTGATTCGCTCGGTGAAGCACTTGAGGCGTCTACCGACAGAGGTCGGGGATGGAGTGCTGTTGACAGCATCCGTAGCAGCCACAACCGTCGCATCGCTGGAGGTGGCTACCCCGACCAGCGCGGGGTCATGGCGCGTCTCGACTCGGTGGCGTGTACCATTCTAAATTTAAATTGTTGTTTCTACTCCCTCCATCGTGACAAGAATACAATTCTAGATTAAAATCAAATTTGAAAAACTAAATTAGAGTATTATAGTATTAATATTTATATCTTCAAATAGATTTTACTATAAAATACATATTCTATGGTTATTCAGTCATACTTATTCAGTATTGTACATGTTTGTGTTTTTATATAAATTTAGTTAAATTTAAAATTGTTTGCCTAATCGAAAAGTGAGGATACTTTTTTATGGAGCATGTGTAATAGGTTAGTTGGTCAGCGATCGCTAGTGTTCGTCTAGTTTGCTACAATTCCATTTCCTTATTATTAATACACCATTCTTTTTTTTTAAATTTCTAGAATCACATAAGTCAAACCATCTTAAGTTTAATTATTTTTGAAAAGGTAATAACATCTATAACACCAAATGAGTACATTATATAAATATATTTCATGATGAATTTAGTGATGTTAATATCTACTTTTTTATAAATTTAGAGCCTAACTGGATGATAGCTAAATTTAAAATCGCTGCTGTAGTTGCGACTTGCGAGGCAGGGTTAGTGCAACCACAGTGTATTTAGACTGGTTAGTTTATAAGGGTAGCTTTTGTGTCGTTAGATTTTAGTTTTTGTTGTTGCCAGAATGTTGTAGTGCATATGAGTAGTCTAAATGGAATGGGTCCACTAACACATAAAAACTTCATTCAATATTTCAGCTATCATTTTGTTTATTAGTCTATAGTCTTATGGGTACCATGTTTTGCATGCACTAGAAAAACTGGCGCCGTGCTCTACCTGAGCGTGCCTGTGTATTCATATTTTGGGATTTACGATGAAGGAACTCGCTATGATTTTACCAATAATAATGTATACCAAACCAATAAATTTCTTTGATCTTCCTGTGACACATAGATAATGTAGAGCTTTGGTATAGGATTAACATACTTAATTTGGAATTAGCGGAGCTTACAAGTACTTTAAGATTATGAAGCCAACGGTAAAAGCAGTACATAAAACTAAAATTACACATGAGAGTAAGGCAAGGATGTCATCTTTTGTGTAATGCTCTTAATTCTGAACTATCCAAGGATTTTCAGTTATAGAATGTTCATACCATAGTGCCGCCTCACAGCTTTGGATGAGCAGGCTCAACACAATAAAGTATGTCATGTCCTCTCTCATGTTCTGCTTTTGGTCCTGCATCGCGTGCTGATGGTTCCCCATTGCTCTTTAAGGTCAATACTAAGATTGTCTCCACCAATACGATGCAAAACAGGAGACCTATTTATGGTATGCGTCTCGCTGAAAGAAAAAGGTCACGTACCTAAAAGCCGACTTCTCCAACAGCAAATGCAAAAGGAAAGCCCAGAACACGCACGGTTTCTTTCGTGGGCGCTCGATGAAATTTTCGCGGGAAACAGAGCGGAAGGTATCGTGCGTACTGCTGGCTTGGCTCGATGGCGGGATTATTTTGTCGCCCCGGCTGCTATGTGTGAGAAGGGACTCGAAGTGGCAGCGAGGTAGCTGCCGGTGATCAACCGATCGCACAAGGCCTGGCGTTGGCGCAATCAGAACACAGGTAATCTATTTTCTGGCAATTTGCTTGTTCGATGTCACATTCACTTTTAGGGTTTCTGCGTTTCACCCCCAATCGATTGGAGAGGATGAAAGGGGATTGGGAGGGATTTTGACTTTTTCAATGGGATCAAATCCCTCTCAATACCCTCCAATCCACTTGGATGGAGACTAAAACGAATAAGCCCTTAATTTGTGGCCAATTTCTCCCTAAACCGGTTTGGTTTATCTGCAGTTGTGTTGGCCATGGCTTGGAGTTATGTTAAAATGTCAATGTTCGGGATAGCCGCAGCATACTTAAGGGACGATGATATCATGGCCACGGTGGCCGTCCTCGTTCAGACGCCACAAAAACACCCTTGGGGAGGTTCGGTCCTAGGCCACAAGACTTACAAGCGTGATCGAGTTGCGGCAGACTGGCAGCTGAATCAGGACTACTTCGTTGAACATCCACTTTACAATAAGGAACATTTCAGAAGGAGGTACAATCTTTTGGCCTAGTTTCTATTTCCATGACACATTGAATTAATTTGATAAACAACTGTAATTTGGGGTTGTAGGTTCCGCATGAGACGGGAATTGTTCCTTCGGACAGTGGATGAGGTCACAACCAAGAATTGGTTCTTCAAACAGAGGAGAAATGCTGCTGGGCAGTTAGGATTCTCTACTCTTCACAAGTGCACGGTGTCTCTAAAGATGCTAGCATATGGAGGCCCAGCTGATGAGTTGGATGATCATTTGAAAATGGGAGAGAGTACTGTCCTGGAGACGCTGAAGGAATTTGTTATGTCTGTCATAAAGGTGTTCGGCAAAGAATTTCTTCATCCTCCCAAAAGTGAGGAGATAGAGCACATATTAAACATCAATTTGGCTAGAGGTTTCCCAGAAATGATAGGTAGCATCGATTGCATGCACTAGGAATGGTCTAGCTGCCCAACTGGTTGGCAAGGCATGTACAGAGGGCACAAAGGCAAGCCAACTCTAATACTTGAGGCGGTGGCGACTCAGGATCATCGGATTTGGCATGTTTACTTTGGTTTACCAGGGTCTCACAATGACACTAATGTTTTGCAACGTTCTAATGTTTTTGATGATTTGGCTAACGGGAGAGCACCCTCTGTTGAGTTCCATGTCAATGAAAACATATATTCCCTTGGATACTACCTAGCAGATGACATCTATCCTGATTGGGCTACACTAGAGAAGACGCTTATTTGGGTTCCGCATTGCCTCCGAGAGTTTTTTTAAAATTTTAACACTTTTTGTAAACTAATTTTAAATCTAACACTGTTTTTTTTTCCAAAACTAATACTTTTGGCCGCGTCTATTGTCATGGCGCGGCGAAACGCCTGTGCCACGCCATGCAAGGTGGCGCGGCAGGAGGGTGACATGGTGAAGACCGGGGCCGCTGACCGGTGACATGGCAGGGTCTGCCACGCCACCGATATTGGCGCGGCACAGACGCGCCACAGAGCAAGGCGCGGCAGGACCTGGATGCAGACAGAACATCGACTGCTGTCGGTGAGGATCGGCAGCGACGCGACCATGGACCATGGACCCCGGCTTCCTCGACCCCTCGCCGGTGAGGATCGGTGCTGGTCGTCGTACTCCACCTCAAGAACGGGATACAACGGGTGCTGCATGGGAGGGACCATCCTATTACAAATTGATAAACAAAGGGTTAGAGTATTCAAATTAACAATATTTAAATTAACATTATGTAGCATTGCAAAATTTGAACTACTTGTTATGCAATACGAACACAATATAAAAGCACATGTATATATTCAAAGTAACATTAACAGACATATTAAACAACTTCACTAGAAAAATAAGCATTCGACGAAACTTCATCAAGTCATCCAAATCGCCGTATCACGCACTACAAAGTACCGACAATCAATCCCTAAACCAAAAATCCTAACTAACAGTAACCTAAACCCTGACTACCTAACCAAAACTACCTAACCTAAACCCAAAATCAATCCCTAAACCCAAAATCCTAACTAACAGTAACCTAAACCCTAACTACCTAACCAAACCTTAACTATCCTAAATCACTAACAAATTCTAAATCACTATCCTAACAAATTCTAAATCACTATCCTAAATCACTAACAAATCCTAACAAATTCACTAACCTAACTATCCTAAATCACTAACCCTAACTAAAATAACAATCATAATAACATGAAATCGAGATAGCCTACCTTAATATGAGTGGGCGGCCGGTGGCCGTGGACGTGCCGTGCGTTAAATGGCGCTGGCCGAGTGGAAGTGGCGCGCGGGCGGAGCGCGTGCGGCGGGGCGTCGACGGGGCTCAGACGCAGCGTCTGCGGGCGGGCAAGCAAGGCTGTGGTCGTCTTGTGGCGGCTGGCGGGCGGCAGGCGAGGCCGGGGCGGCGGCGGCAGAGGAGGAGGGGGGCGGCTCGAGGCGAGGGGCGGCTCGCGGGCGATATTTATCTGATCCTGCTGCGCCATGCTCCGTGGCGCGTTTGGGCGGCGCCAAGATCGGTGGCGCGGCAGACCCTGCCACATCACCGGTCAGCGCCCGGTCTTCGCCACGTCACCCTCCTGCCACGCCACCATGCATGGTGCGGCACAGGCGTTTCGCCGCCCATGACAATAGGCGCGGACAAAAGTGTTAGTTTTAAAGAAAAAAACAGTGTTAGATTTAAAATTAGTTTACAAAAAGTGTTAAAATTAAAAAAATCCGCCTCCGACGCAAAATGCGTCTTTTGTTTGCCTCCTCCGTTGGAGCCTGTTTTTCCTGCTAAAACACCGCAAAGGACGCAATTTGGGTTTGGGTCATGTTATACGTACGTTGTTGGAGATAGTCTAATAAACAACATATCTCAAATGGAAATGCACTGCAGAGAAATACGAATTAACAAAAGAAAAAGAATCATGGATGAACACTAAATTGCACGATGGTGCGAAATAGCGCACTTCATAAAAGATTATATTATATTTACCAAAAAAAACTAAACAAAGATTGATGAAGGATTGGATTTTTCAAAGTAATTTCATGCTTTCCAGAACTGCCCACTTGACAATCAAAGGGCTATCATGGTAATGCTTTCATCTGATTGAGGAAGCGATAAGAAATGTACATTGCAAAAAATGCCACGCATTATACAATAGTAGGATTACTTATGAGTTACCTGGCACTGCTATATGACATTTTGGAGTACAATAATCAGAAACTTAGACTGCTACTAAGCCAGCCTTCAATACGAATGAGAAATTAGGAAGATAGAAAAAGAACATTCCAGGCCACTAGTATCTTTAGTACGATTGGCTTCTTGGAGGCACCTACTACAATTTTTTTTTACATAAAAAAAGTCAATGGTAAATTTGGGTAGAAGTAATGTCATTCTCAGACAAAGAGTGTTGTATAGAAGAGGCAGTGTTGTATAGAAGAGGCACGGTACAACTGCTTTGAGATTTACATTTTGCCAAGGGCCGAGCTAGTACACAAGAGGCACGTGCCCCCACTCAAATTATTGGTTTTCAAAGAAAATATGTCTTCTTTTGTATAGTTGTAGATATCCATCGGTCGCCACTCAAATTTTATGCTAGTTCCGCCCTTTTATTTTATCGATGCACATGTTTGTTCAGTTTGGATAGTACTTGTGATAATTCTTGGAGCTAACCTCTTATGTAAGACATGGCCTTTGCAGGTTTTTGACCTCTCTGAGATCTCCCTGAGTTCATACCACTAAGCAATCTAATTGTTGTGTCTGTATCAAACATTTATTTATCAAGATTTACTGATCTAAGCAATGGAAATGACAATTGCTAGAGAACATTAACATCAGTACTCGGCCTGGTTCTAGAAAATGAACATCCCAGTATACAGATTAAAAAGAAAAAAGAAAAAAAGTAATGATGTACAATATTGATTGAAATGCAATAAAAAATAATTTAAAATTTATATATGAGATACAACAAGTTAGGAGACAATTAATACATATAAAGAACTTATTTCTTTAATATACAACTAGCATGTGCATAACGAATTGCCTGATGCTCTGACATTTCAGTTTGAGTAGTAGGGTACTAAGGACTTGAGTGAATATAAGAAAAGTATAGTAACCAGCGGCGCTTTCTTTTAACACATGATCACATGTAAAGCATGAAGGGCATTAGTACCGCAATAATGAGAAAATGGAAACTTTGATTCACTACTACATAATCGATTTGTAGCAACATACCCTTTTTTTTTAGAGGCGGCTCCATCAGCAGACGCCCCTACAGTGGACGTGCCCGGGACCCGCTGGGCCAGCAACCTCTACAAATCGAACAGTAGAGGCGGCTGGTGATACGAGCCGGCCCTACAAATGGGTCAATTTTTAGAGGCGACTCATTCACCAACCGCCCCTACTGTTCGATTTGTAGGGACGGCTCCATCACCAGCCGCCCCTACAAAGCCCCAGTACAAAGGCCCGACGCCCCCTTGTTCCTCCTCGGATCAGTTACTGTAGCCCGAGAGAGGAAGGAAGGGGGGCTTTGGGCACCTCCCAAAAGTTGCTTTTTCAAGGGGGAGGTTTTGATCTCATTTTCTTTGGTGGAGAGGTTATAGAAGGTAAGAAAATGCTATTCCAAATATTTTTTGGAAGTTTTAACGGTTGGTTAGTGAGTAATTAGGGTTTTGCTTTTCTCTCTTTTCTATAGTGCTTGAGCCATTTATGAAGCAAATTAGACCAAAGTTTTGAAGTTTCTAGGGTAAATTAGTTTGTGGAAGAAGATTACACCCTTATTTAGTGGGGTCTTGCTTGATTTTAGTGATTTATTAGTTAGTTTAATGGATGTGTCATGTAGATCTAGATCTACAGCTAGGGTTTGGTTTTTTATTATTAATTACATTTTTGCATGAAGGATACTGTGTAAAGTATTAATTGTTGCTAATTATTGTCTTTGAAATTGTTTGTTATTATAACCAAGATATTAAAGTGGAGAATTAAATATATTTTTTAATTAGGTCATTAATTGTTCTCTAGAATGGTTTTTCAGGAAACTGCTAGTTATATATCTGTGAATAATTAGTCCTTTATTTTTTTTCTTTGATAGATGTTGTATAAGATAAAGTACAGGCAGTCTTGGATGTATGGTGCATTAAGGTACAAGCCAGGTTTCGTGAGGAAGTGGATAAATTTCTTGAAGCCACAAAGAACCATGCAAAGACGTTGAAAGAGAATAAAGATTCAATTATTTGTCCGTGTAGAGATTGCAACAATTATAAAGCATTCAAAGATGTGACGATCATCAGATCATATTTGATTATGTGAGGATTTGTTAAGGACTACACAGTGTGGATTCATCATGGTGAAATGGTTGTTGACGACGTTGATCCAGAAGAAGATGACGCCGAAACCCTAGGTTACCTGGACCAATTTGTAGCAGAGCTTGGTGCAGAAATGGCTAATGATTACCTTGAGCAAGGTGGCGATGCTTGTGGTTGGGATGGTAACACTGAAGGTGGTGCCAATAATGATGGCG